GGGTATGTGTTTTAGCTCAAAGCAAGAAGTGTACACATTTTATGCCAAATATGCTAAACATGTTAGATTTTCCATAGCTTATAAAACTCAAGTTTGTGGCGATGATGGGGAATTAAGATATTTTGGGATTGAATGTTCTCGATCGGGAAAAAGAATCAAAAAATCAGAAGTAAACCCTCTAAAACCATCTCTATCCACAAAAATTGATTGCAAAGCAAGGGTACGGGCAACCTTACAAAAGGATGGGAGATTTATGTTAACCACAATTAACTTTGACCATAATCATGACTTGATTCCCACCGACTCACGCCATTTTACAATGAATAAGAAAATTCTTACTCTTGTGAAGAGAAGATTAGAAATTAATGATCAAGCAGGGATTGGAGTGTCTAGGAATTGTAACTCAATGGTTGTTGAAGTTGGGGGTTATGAGTCATTAACATTTGATGAGCAAAATGCAAGGAATGACATTGACAGAACTAGAAGATTGAGGCTTGGAGAAGAAGATGCTGACACTTCAAAAATATTTCTTAAGGATGCACGCACAAAATTCGAGTTTCTATTACATGATTGATGTTGATACTGACTTTCGCATTAAAAACTTGTTTTAGGTAGATGCAATGAATCGGCGGCTTATGAAGAATTTGGAGATGTTGTTTCATTTGACACAACTTGTCTCACTAACAAATATGATATGTCATTTGCTCTGTTTGTAGGAGTTAACCACCGTGGATAGTCAATTTTGTTTGGTTGTGGGTTGTTTTCTAGTAAAGACACTGATACATTTGTTTGGTTATTCAAATCATGGTTAAATTGTATGTCAGATCATCCTTCAAAAGCTATAATAACTTATCAATGCAAAGTTATGCAAAATGCTATAGAAATTGTTTTTCCAAATACTCGACATCAATGATTTTTATAGCATATAATGAAAAAAAAATTGGAGAAATTGAAAGGCTATTCTCAATATGAATCCATGAAGTTGGCTTTGCAAAATGCAGTGTATGACACTTTCACAAAAGATGAATTTGAGATGAGATGGAAAGAGATGATTGCAGAATCTTATCTTTATAAAAATCAATGGTTGGGGGTACTTTATGATGAACGACATCGATGGGTTCTTGTCTATGTGAAAGACATTTTTTGTGCTGGCATGTCAACTACATAACGAAGTGAGAGCATGAATGTCTTTTTTGATGGGTATGTCAACCCGAAGACTACATTAAAATAATTTGTTGAACAATATGAAAATACTTTGAGAAGTAAGGTAGAGAAAGAGAAGAAAACTGACTTCAAGTCTCGACACAAAGTGTTTGATTATCTAACTGTGTATGATTTTGAGGCAATTTCAGGAGAGAGAATACTTTTGTATATAGTTTTGAGATGCAATTTCAGGAGAGAGAATACTTTTGTATATTAAACAGTAAAAAAAATAGATTATACAAGCTATTAAATTTTATAAATTTTCCTTCCTGGTTAATGCCATATATAATAATAAAACTGTAAAATTTACACATCATTAAGTCAAAATAAAAAATAAAATTATTAATTTGGCTTGGTTTGAGAAGTGAATTGACTTTTTGATTTTTTAATTTTTTTAACTATTTTAGCATGGGATTAAAAAGCCTAGTTTAAGAAAAAAATTTAACTTTTTTAATTTTTTTTGTAAAAAAATAATATAATAATTATGAAAAATGTGATATTTTACCTTATTAAAACTAAAAAATTTATTTTATTTTTTGTAATTATTTTAATCCCTAACCCACCCAAACCCACTTTTCAAACAATGCGTTTGTAAAACGTTATTCCACTAAAATTTGGGAGCCGGATGAAGGCCGAACTCAAAGCCGCCGCCACACCCACTTCGGGATTATATTATAGTTCTCACTTTTTATTGTACCTTCTGGATTATTCTAAAAGGGTCTATAATAATAACTATAATAAAAGAAGGTGAATAAAATTTAAATTTCAATAAGAAATTATATAATTATTTATGAGTTCATTTGAAAAATTGACTATTTTAATTAATTTATTTATTTTTTAACTATTTTAACTTAATTAAAAAAATTATGTTTAAAAAGTTGGTTGACTTTTTTTTATAATTGATTTGATAATTATGTGAAAAAAATAATAAAATAATAATGATTTAAATATGATAATAATATTTTATTTTATTAATTATTTTAGTCTATTTTATCTTTATTGATTATTTTAAACCAAAATCATCTTGCAAGATTAAAATAGTTAAACATATATATTAGTAAAATTTTAAAAAATCTCCGAGTATTTTTTCTTGAAATTCTTTAAACCATTAACATTGGCAAAGCAGACCGACATTGCATTTTTTTTAAAAGTAAACTAATGCTCCACACGTACCACACACGTGTTATATTTATAATTATTTATATATATATGAATTGTAATTTTTAAATATTTTTTTTTTACAATTTGCAAAATATATAACTAAATTAAGAAAAAATTTATTCCTAACATCATTTTTTTACTTCTATATAAATACTTAAAAAATAAATTTGAAAAATATAGTCAATATAATATTATACATTAAGCAAAAAAATGTGATTAATAGTTATACTTACATAAATTTATTATAGTTTTACTTTCAAGTAAAAATATATATATTTTTTAAAATCATTTTATTTAGGTTGTACCAAATAAAATTTTCTTACCAAAAATGAAAGTTGTAAAATTTTGTTACAAATTTTCAAATGTCTATTAACATTTTATTCTACTTACTTGTTTGCTTACTTGCTTTGGAAGTTTTAATTTTTAATCTTTGCTCCACATTCATTGTTTTTTTTTTTTTTTCTTCTTACTTAATTTTTACATGATACTTCTTTCATAGTACATCTCCGAGTATATTAGTGAAAATATCATACACTTAAAATGCACAAAATTATAATATATAGAAAAAAAAGTAAATAATTGCCAAAACTAAAACTACTTTAAGAAAAAATAAAAAATGAAATTGTTCAAAATAGAAAATGTTTATTTATTTATTTTTAAAAATAAACTTTTAAAGAAAACAAAAAAAAACAATATTAAAAAAGTACAAAAACTAAACATAAAATATAATACAAAAAATAAATAAATTATAGAATTTTTCAAAAGTCTTGTTTAATTTTCACATGATACTTCTTTCATAGTACATCTCCAAGTGTATTAGTAAAAACATCATACACTTAAAATACATAAAATTAAAATATATGGAAAAAAAGTAAGTAATTGCCCAAAACTAAAACTAATTTAAGAAAACAATAAAAACAAAAATAAAATTATTTGAAATAGAAAATGATTTATTTATTTATTTTGAAAAATAAACTTTTAAAGAAAACAAAGAAAACTATAAAACAAAAGTGAATAATATATAATACCAAAAATAAATAAATTATAAAATTTTCAAGAAGTGAGACTCACAAATAAATTTTGTAAAATCTTAATTATTCATATACTTTATATATATATATTTTGTACTTCTAATCCACATGAACCAAACAGAGAAAACATTTGAGAAGACAGAGAAATGTGATTTGAGATCTTTTAATTGCTGACACTTCGTACATTTTGTGAGCATTATTAATAAAATACACAATGTAATTTTTTTTTCTTTTTTTTTCCGCAACTTTTTATTTTTTTTTAATAAGAATTTATATTTATTTTAGATATTTTTTTAATATACAAATTATTTTTTTATATTTTTTATAAAAATAATTTAACAATCCTATTACTAACCATAGTGTATGAAAAAAAATTGAAAAAAATGCGACGGTAAATATGACAAAAGTCAAAAAAACTTGTGAGTTGAAATAAGTCTTCAAGTCAATAGATGTTGAGATTTTTTTTTTGTTTTTAATCAAAAAATTAAAAAATTAAGATTGAAAAATTGAAACTTTTATGGGTTAAAAACTTCATTTTCCTTATACAATATATATAGATAATTCTGTGCTTGAAAGTATTTTTTTCTAAAAATATTGCAAGCAGAGTTTCCATCTCTCTCTCTCTCTCTGACCAAAAGATATAATACTACACTTCAATTTCCGCGAAAAATGAATCAAATAATAGTGATTACATGAGTGCAAAACAAAAAGAAAATCAAACCATACGAATCTTTCATCCTATAGAAGAAAATTAAACACATAACCATATATATATATATATTTGTGAAACAACTTTTCGTCAACATATGCATATAAAATTTCTATATCTAGAAGACAAGACTAGACATTACCAGGTTAGCTACCAAACATGAAATCAAAGATAGAAATGAATCTTAGGTCAAGAGTCACACTCATTATATAGGGCTGAGCAAAGAATCCGTGAAATCCGTAATCCAATCCCGTCCAGTACAATCCGATATCGGATTAGTTTTTTGAATCCGCAGTTCGGTTCCGGATTGAAGAATTAAAAATCCGCAGTCCATGGATTGGTTCCGGATTGAACCCCACGGTTCTGGATTGGAACCGATCCGGACCGTATACAAATAGTCTATATTTTTATTATACATCATCCCCCATAGTATCTTCTCTTATTTTATATAAAATCTAAACTCAAACCTAAAACTATATAATATCTTCTTTTATTACTTTTGTTTGTTAGTTTTTAGTTTTAATTTGTAATGGTCTAAATACTTACGGTGAAACTAGATTTCTTCTTGTTGTTTAAATTCTAGAACAGTATATCGCTATTATAGAAAAATATGTTACTATTGTGGAACTAATGTAGCGTTATGTTTATATTTTTATGAAATTAAAGTGTCATATATATATATATATATATTTGTTATTTAATTATGTGAATCCGTGGTCCTAAACCGATCCAATCCGTATTTAAATGGATTGGTTCGGATTGGTTCCATGATTTAAACGGATTGGATTGGTTCCAATTTTTTAAGAACCGTAGATAACGGATTGGTCCTGGTTTTACTCCAATCCGATCCAATCCGGACCATGCTCACCCTATTATATGTAAGTTAACATTGCATATATACCATCAAAAAGAACAGATATGGGATTATAAAATTATCATCACAATGCAAATATACTCCAATGGAGAGAACTAGAAGATTAAGAAATGGGTTGCAGGAACTCATCTCTTAACAGAAAATCCATATATTGTCTCATTAAATTGTCATTCAACAGAATAAGGAACAGTAACAACCTGCAAAAGCACAAGTCTTAATCTGAAATACAATAGGAAACGCTCCATATTCGGGATGATTGCTGCATGAAACCTCTCAACACCTGACAAAAATATTTTCAATAAAAAGTCAGTATAATGTACGAGGAAATAAAATAAAATAGCCAGTGAGAAAAAAAGAGAAAACACCATGAAATTATAAGTACCCCTGCTTAGCACAACCAGTCAAAAGAAATGGCATTTACATCTCTGAACAGAAGACCCTGTAGACAGACAGAAAGGGAAGAAAAACAGCTGATCCGTGGCCCATAATAAAATTAGCCACCAACTTGTATATCTATGTTCTATTCTTGTATAAAGATTCATCGTCCTAACTAATATCATTGAACGCATGACCATAACAAAATGATTTTATGGCCCCAAAATGAAAGCATGTATTTCAGCCCAACTGGAGACCGTGTAAAGAATGCCAGATAGACCCTTCCAACTAGAAGTGCTTCCTTCAGCACATCCTTTCTGCTTCTTAACTACACCAGGGAACAATGGAACAAACGAAACACCAAAATGACTTCCCACACGCCTTAGGCTTGTACTCGATCCATGAACAATTCCAACATCTGCTTCAAGCAGGCAAAGTAAGTCACCCACCGAGTCTCCAATATAAACAGTCAAGTTCTTTTTCTCCTTGCTGCTGTTCTTTAGAATATCACTAAAAGCCTTAACCTTGTCAATGGGTGATTCAACCTTTTTAACAATTTCACCGGTAGAGATGGAGTTTTCATAGACAAATTCATTTGCATGTACCTTCAGAACATTCAAACCCCCTGCCAACAAATGAAAAACAAAAAAAAAATGGAGAATGATAACCCTACCAAGCAATCTCACAAAAATAACCCGAGAGAGGAAAATTATCCATCAAAATCCAAAATTGAGATATGACACCAAGGCAATCTGACAGTAAAGAAACCCCATCTTTTATGAACTTATATTAAAGCACAAAACAAGAAAGACCATTAAACATCAGGATAAAATAGATCAAATAATTAAGCGGAGAAGGACATCGTAACCCTGCTTTAACACTTCTTTTCGTCAGTGGGTAGTTTTTTTTTTTTTTTTTTTTTTTTTTTGGCTTTAACTATCCAATAACAAAAAGAATCATATAACCAAAAGAATTGATGTACCTTCACAGAACATGGACCATGCAATTCCTAGAATAGAAAGGATCAAACAAGGCAAATAAAATGCATGCCATGCTCAAACAAACGAAAAAAACACATTACATGAGTATGTAGTGAAAAAATGTAATTGAAGTGTGCATAGCATATTATGATGAATTTAGTAGTAATGGAATTTTGATCTTTCAGAGAGGACCTAATTATTTTTGCTTCCACAGTGGTGCATTTTGTGCAGAAGGGAAGGGATGAAGAGAGCATTAATCATCTATTTTTGCAGTGCATCGTGGCCTCAGCAATGTGGCGTAGCATAAACCCTTCTTTTATGGTGGAAGTGGACTCGGTTACTCCTTTCTCATGTCCAAATGTTGTTGAATGATTATAGGGAATTTGGCTCCAATAAGAAAGCATTCAGTGTGTTTGGTTTGAGTTTTTTGAATTAAGTTTTTTAAAAATTGAGTTTTTTATTTTTTGTGTTTTTTTATTTTTAGTGAATATTTTTAAAATTTTAAGCATTTTTTTTACTTTTTTAGATGCATCTTACTTAAATGTGTCTAAAAAGTAAAATATTTGTGAAAAAATATTTTAAATATTAATAAATACACAAAAATACAAAAAATGTACTGAATTTTGAATTTTTTTTATTTTTTTATTTTTTTTTTGTATTTTTGGTATTTAGTGAATTCTTAAAAAAAAAATTCACAAAAATCATACTTTTTAAGTGTATTTATGTTATGTGTGTCTAAAAATTAAAAAAATTGCTTAAAATATTAAAAAAATTCAGTAAAAACAAAAAAAAAAAAATATGAAAAACAAGAAAGTAGAATTTTCTTAAAAGTGTTTTTAGAAAACTCAAACCAAGCAAAGTGATTAATTCTTTAGAGATGGGCTTCAGTCTCATCTAGGGGTTTTGCACGTTGCAGTTTGAGCAGTTGGGGTGAATTGGCGGATTGAACAATATTCTTAACCAATTATCAAGCATTTGTATATATATAACACTATATATAACATAAACTCGTTTTACATAATATTTTTTATACATATAATTACTAATTTGTAACAAATTCACATCTTAAATCTCTTTAACACTCATTTTTACTTTGATATTTCATTAGAGATTAAAAAATATTCATGTATTAACTATAGCGAAGCAGAACAGTTTCGAAGGCAAATTATAAAATTTAAAGTTCAATCCATAGTTACCGGATAGAGTGGTGCGGATCGGTGCGGTTTTAGCGTATTGGGCAGTATTTTACACAGCCCTAGTCTCATCTCCTTTAAGGTGATTTCATTGTCTTTCATTAATAGGGATTGGAAAATGAAGTGCGATATGTAACGCTTCCTGAATTCCTATTTCTTTCCATTTCTTGGTGAATTCACCAAAATGAGTGTAACTAGAATGACTATGTAAAGAGAACAGGGTTATAACATCTAAAAAAGCCAACTTATTGGCTCATTGGCTTATTTTGGTCACATCACCTCTCTACTTTTTTGCATAGTCTTTTCGTAATAAGCAAAAAAGCCAACATATAAGCCATACCCAAAAAAATCTATTAATGTCTAGTATTACGAGGAAAGTTGAAAGTATCAGCAGAAAGGATGAGTTTCAACATCTACAAGTGAATTGAGCAGGTGTAAAGGAAGTAAATTGCCTCATATTGTAGTAGCCAAATTTGCAAATTCGAAGTTCATAACCTGCAGTTGCAATCAACGCGGAACATACCTGATGAAAAAGCTGATCTAATGAGATCACCACACCAACAATAGGAAAGTACATGAACATTTGCATTCAAATTTCCATTCTTTACAACCCTCTCGAAGAATCCTGTACAACCATCTTGAAGTTTTACACGTTCCCCAGCCCGTTTTATTTCTTCAAGATTCAGACCCTTGAGTACTCCAGATTCAATCACACTAGAATTTGCCTTTTTTTCAAAATTCGAAAGTTGCTCAAGTGCTTTACACAGTCCTTCATAATTGAATCTCTCCGCTGAAAAGACGGGATAAATCTCATAAATTCCTGATAGCTATCCTTCTCAGTAGCCTAACCATTTGCTTTCAAAGTCTATAAAATTTATAGGTTTGAAGTTAAAATATCATACAAGAAACACAATCAAGTACCGTACCTTTTCCAGAACGCACAATGCTCTCAATGCATTGTTCATACTCTTCTGTATACTGCCTAGAAAGAACACCCCATGTGTTTCTCAAGTCAGCTGAAGACATCCGAACAATTTGATTTTCAGGTTGACTTTGATCAGATTTTGGTGCTGTTACTATTGCAATCTCTGCCAAAATGGCAGATGAATCAACAACAGTGCACGTCAAATCAAAATCAGAAAATAACATAAACCGATGTTCTCTAAGGTTGTGCTCGTTTGTCAGAGGAACAACAGGTCGTTGAACAAGCGGCTGAGCACAGAAGAACTGTATTCCCAGTTTCAGGGCTTGATGATAAAGCTTCTCAATGATGTCCAGCTCTTCTCCTGTCAAAGATACACTTAATTTGTCCAACAAGTCCTCAGTTTGCAGAGCTGATGCCTAAATTCAAAATATAAGATATGAGCTATTGGAATAAAGAAGGCCATTATGTAATGCATTTTCCTATAAAACTGTAGTCAGTAAAGTCTATCAGTTTTGACAACTAAAAAGCCAAAAATGCTCAGTGCTGAATAGCAGAACATAACATACCTGAAAACTTCCAGAGGAACAATTGTCGATCCACTTCTTGTAGAGGTGACTACTACTGTCGGAATCCAGAAGTGCCTGGAGTTCCTTCCCTAGAAAAGCATAAAGTCTCGTCCAAGGTGCCATGGCACCTAATGTGTAAGCCGCAAGTTTTGTTTTTTCAAAAGGAGTGGCAAGTTTTCCAGGACCTTTTACTCCTTCAACCTTCCCTGAGGCAGTTGCTAACAAGAAATCCGTGTATTTAACTGTAGCTGAGTTGAGAGTGTTCTCTTTGACCATGTCAGAACCCCATTCCTACATAACTCATATTTCAGACTACATGAGTAATTTTCTATACAAAAAGGAGAAGAAAAAAAAAGCCTATTATTGAGAATATCGTATTACATAATTGTGATAGGACACAATGCACTCAACATAACATGGAAGGCAAATACAAACTTCATTTAAAGCAAAATGTAATGATTTATATGCATCAACGGCTCGGAGTGTATGGAAATGTAAATCCTCAATGACTTAGGAGGTGTTCTAGTAAGAAATAAATAATCTGCATCAACCAAATCTGTCTTCTCATTTTGAGCTTTGAACCAAGCTTCAACTGTCCCAAAGTATCAGAAGCTTCTAATGAAATGTTATTTGTAGCCCTGCTTTATCACCAACCCAATATTGGCCAATAATGCACAATATAAAAAAGAAGGTAATCACAAAAATATGAATGGAACACCAGATTGCGAAGGGATCTCTAATTTAGTCTAAAATTTTTAGTTGCTCTGCATTCTTAAAGAACTCATATGATCTCTGAAATTTTCAATTTTTTTAGTTGAAGTAAATGTTCTACAACTTCTACCTAGCATTAATAGTTCCCATCTGTAAGTGAAGTATTAGTCTCTAGAGTTATGCTCCACAAGCCCTGTTTCTGAATGCAAAACAACAACACACACATCCAAAGGAAGATCTTGGCATTCTGTACTTCAGAACATATAATCCACATTTGCATGATTCAGTAACCATATCCAACATGTTTGGTAGGGCCACCTAATGCCTTTTTCTTTTTCTTTTTTTTCAATTTATCACTGGTTTATTTAATTTACAGGAAACACAATAATATTCTATAGGCTATAGATAAGGAAACCAGCCCTTGAAAGACAGTGAGAACAAGAATATTCCAAGGAAAACAGCACAACATGACAAGAAGAATAAAACCAATTGGGGCAAATTTCATTTTACCCCCTGTAGTTTAGGTCATGTGCATATTACCTCTCATTTGGAAATAATCACACAATTGCCTATGGTTTGCAAACTAAAATGCACAATAAGCTTTTCTATCCAAGTTAACGGGTAAGTCATTTTTAACATAAAAGCACCCTTTATACATCTTCAAATTTATATATATATATATATATATATTTCTTCTTCCCCTCTTTTCTACTCCCTGCACCAGTGCCTCCCTCTCCCTGACACACACCCTACTCCTGTCTCCTTCCTGTCCTTAGTGTCTGGTGCACTTACCCTACAACATATCTTCCTCATTTTGCTTGTCACTGTTAGTGTTAAGACTAGTATTTCTTCTTCCCTTCATTTTTAAGACTAGTATATCTTCCTCATTTGTAGATTGAGCCTTAATTAATTGAAAGAATTAATTTAATAAACATTTAACTTGACCTTGGTTTAAAGAAGTAAGAAATTGAAAAGTTATACTCGATTAAAGACTTGAGTTATTCGAAACAAGGGAAATTACACAATAACTTAGGCATACACAAAGTTTAGTTGAGGCTCATAAAACTTTTAAAAGTGAAATAGGATAAAGAACTAAAGTAAGTTGGAAGAAATTTTAAGTGTCCTGTTCAGTCACATAAACTACCATTCTTTTCAATTCAGACTACCCTTCTTTTCAATTCAGACAACCCAAATCAAAGCTAAGAACGTTCCAACACCAAAAAAATTGTTTTTGTTTCCGTTACCACAGCCACTAAAAGCAATCCTAAAAGAATTTAATCAATCAACTTCTCCAAGAGCCACCCAAGTTAACCTTGCTATGGTATATTTCAATCACGAAATATATTTCAAACTTCATCAAGTATTTATTGATTATCCTATAAAAAATATAGATTATAATTAAGGATGGACTTCAGTGTTTAGGAACCTTAATTGTATTGGGGCCCTTTTGGGGACCCATAAACTAGCTGCCAGAGGAACAGGAACTCCACACAAAAACCCTGTTAAACCTTCAACGTCGTTATCAGACATTGAAGGCTGCGCTGAGCATCTATTTCTTGTATATCATTCCACACCGAGAAGAGGGATGTGTACCTCTAACAACAAGAAGAATGGAGTATTATATTAGAAGTAGGCCCTACTAAGTAAAAGGCACAAGAATCAAAGACGAACCATGCATCCATCCTGGTTGCCCAGGCATTGGCATTGGGAGTCGAATCTTAGGGGAAAGGAAGTTGTGGTTATACAAGAGAAGTATGTTGCTCGATGCGATTTTTACATGGGTGATCAAGGGCACAGTGTTTCAGCCTCAAGCAGAGTACCATTATATGCATGAGAAGAATAATTACATGCATGGGTATCTGATTAGTGTAAATTAATTTCGCAAAACTGATTAGCAAAGATACATGAAGGCAATAGTTGAATTAAAAGCTCCAAACAGACTGCATATTAACAAGTGAATTGTTTAGTTAATAGCCCATCATAAATGGTACTGATTGCATATCTATCCATTCCCCAAGAAAAGCTTCAGTGATCAAGCTGCATGGATGTAGAGCACAAATAGTGTTGCAATTGAAAGAAGCATTTGAAATTTCTTTTAGACAAATATTCTTTATCTTTATACACTCAAATTTCTCTTACATTTCTCCCACACATACAACTAGCTAGTCTAGCTCTACAGTTACAACTACCTTGTAAACATTTTTTAGCTTTAGGTACTCAAACCCACTATGTCCAATGCTACAACAACAACTTGCAATCAAAAATCATCCAGGAAGAAAATGGCTCATGCACTCAATGCTCTTGCAGCAACTATCGTCATGCACAACCAGTAGTCTAACAGGACCCAACTGTTTTTCTTTTTCTCCTTTTTTTTTTGGGGATCCGGACCCCAATCTTCAAAAGAAATAATTTTTAATAGAAAAATTGATCGAGACCAACATTGCTGATAAAATAAGGAATAAAGTTAACTTATCAAAAAATATATAAGAAGCACACTTAGCCTACTAGCAGTTTTTTAAGTGAGGTTTAGGAATTCAACTGCTAGATCTTGAGTTCCAGTTTTCTAGATTGTTATTCTAGATAACCACACTCACTCATGCACATAAACACATTACTGTTGTTGTTTGGTCCAGCAATTAGTTGTAGTAGCCTCAAGACTCGCCATATGGAACAAAAGAATTGTCTCATTGATCTAATATCATGATACAAACAGGACCTGATCATTTCCAATAACTAGCAAGGAAACAAAATAAAGTAAAACAATGTTCAATGTCTTACTTTGACAAATGAACCATGCATTTTCAGCTTTTCTAGGACACTTTTCCTCAACTGACTAATCCCAATCTTAGCATCATCGTCATCTGCGCAATCCTCTGCCGACTCATACCTACAAATTAAAAAATAAAGCCAAAAATAAATAAATAAATCAAAATCAAAAGACCCACAATTCAATAACCTTAGCCAATAATCTATACATAGACAAGGATATGGAACTATAGTTTCCTATCCAAAGGGGTGAGAATGATAATAAATATTTTTTTAGTAATTGATATAAACTATCATATTTCAATTCATGAATAAAAAATAAAGTAAGACATAATATTAAAGGAAAAATCTATGGTGTGCATCCCTAAAAATGGGCGCACTGTAAGAAATGTTACACTAATGCTTATGCCAGCTTTGCATCAAGCATTGATATCCGTTACAGACATTTTAACGCATCTATTTATGCCAAATACTATCAATCAAAGGAAATTATGTGCATTCCACATGTCTTGCGGTTCATTTAGTCAGGAAATTAGATAAATTCCACCCAATGCCCTTCAAATGCCTGATGTGAGGTTGGTGTAAGCATTGTTAGGATAGGGGATTACATTTGTGAAGTTCAAGATGCAATTAATACACGTTAAAGTTCGTATACAGAAAAATGAAATAAGTGGAATATTTAAGGACCATTTGTGCAATTTACCTCTTAAATAAAATAATACAGATAGTAGATGTGCAATTTTATATCTAACTTTTTGGGTGTTTTGCTGAATGAAAAATATGAATCGGTTTTGAAAACTGATTAAAAGTTGTTCTGATTGTGTGCTAGATGAGTTATTAATTCTAAAATCAATTGAGAACAATTTCTTTATTTGTTAAACAATGAGTAAGCTAACATCATTTTTTCTTTACATGCCATTTCTTTCTAAGCAACCGAACAAACAAACAATATATTTGATATGCAAAGTAAAGACATAGAGGTAGAGACTGACGCTTGGGCGAAGGCTTTGAGAAAATGGACATCTTGGGCGATGTAATACCGGAAAGTATCGAGCTTGAGATTCCCGGAAGCCAAACAGACAACGAAGGGAGTGTAGAGAGCAAGAGTCGAGTCTTTGCTGAACTTGATCCAGAACCTCCTGGCCATGCCTTCCGCGTTATCCGCCGCTGCTCCTTCTCCGCCGCCGCCGCCGCCGATTGCCGACGGCTTAGAAGTAGTCGCCATTGATGTTGTCGATGCTAATGGTATGCGAGATGGTAGGGATTTATAAGGGGAGGCAAATAGAGATCGGATTGAGGGGCAAAATCGGAAGGATGAAGGAACAATGATCTTGATTGGATTGGGATTGATGAACAAACTCATCAAATTAAGAGAGAGAGAGAGAGAGAGAGAGGTTTTGGGATTGAGATTCAATTTGTATTAACAGAGTGTATGTATATGCATATTGTGTAGGTGTATGTAGAGAGAGAGAGGGGGGTATGGAGGGGAGGAGCTTGGGGGATGATCCAGTTCAAACAACAGATACTCGGTGGGGTGAGGGTAGTGCCCACATTAGTTGGGGTAGAAGACTAGATAAAGTTAGCCTATGTTTGGAAAGTATGTTTGGGAAGGGAGTTGGTTTTTGGCCTTTTGGGTTTTTTTTTGGTTTTTTTTTTTTTTTTTTTTTGAATTATTTTATTTTTTTTTTTTTTTTTTTTTGAATTATTTTAGTTTGGGTTAAAAAGTTTGGTTTGAGAAGGGTTTTTAATTTTTTATCTTTCTTGACTTTTTTTTTGTAAAAGAAGAGTATAATGATTATGCGTTGAATGTGATATTTTGTTTGTTGTAACTAAAATAGCCACAAAAAAAACTCTTGTCAAACGGATAGGGTTGGTTTGGGATGTGATTGGTTTTTTGGTTTTTTAGTTTTTTATTTTTTTGCTATTTTAGTTTAGGATTAAAAAGTTTCATTTAGATAAGTTTTTTAGTTTTGTTGATTTTTATGAGAAAAAAAAATGATTATAATTTGAATATAATATTTTACCTTCTCAAACTAAAAAGTTTATTTTATTTTTTTATAACTATTTTAGTTAAATAATCTCATTTTAATTTATGTCAAACAAAGACTTAATGGTCTAGCAATATTTCTTTACACCACACAAAACAAATTATGACACCGTTGTCTTTTTATAAAGTAATTATACAATAATTTTAGAGTAATACATGGTATTTTATAATATTGTAATTGATAGAAAAAATTAATAAGTGGAATATTATGTTGATATTTCATAATATTATGATTGATAGAGAAAGTAAGTATGTGAGATATTATATTGAATAATTGAGAAATATAAAAAAATAATAAATAATAATTGGTTAAAAAATACAAACACGTGATATTACAAAAATAGTGTATAATTTTTCTTTTTCATAGGAGATAAAAAAAAAATAATGGGACCTATTATTTTAATCAATAAAATATATATTTAGAGCATCGTTTAAATTTGTCCCGGAGCAAACATAATTTCTCAAACAACCCCGGTTGGTAGCTCGAAAATCCGTGAGTCGAATGGGTCGAAAAAGCAAAACGACGTCGTTTTGCTTTTTCGACCCATTCGACCCACGTTTTTTTTTTTTTTTTTTTGGGTCTTCGTCTTCCTATCAGAAGTAGAAAATCAGAGAAGGAGGGGAAGAAAGGAAAAGAAGAAGAAGAAGAAGGGTGGAGAAGAAGATCGGGAGGATGAGGAAGGAGGGAGGGGAGGGGGCCATAAAAATCGGCTGGAGGAGGAGGCGGGGCTGCGGCGAGGCTGAAGGACTGGACGAGCTCCTCACGGCGGAGGCACAGGCAGTGAGGCGACGGCGTCGGCAGAAGCGACGAGTGGCGAGGTGACGGCGTCGGCAGAGGCGACGACGTCCTCCTCTCTCCCTCTCTTCTCTGCTCTCCCTTTTCAAGTTTCGGGCCATTCGACCCTTAAATTTTCGAGCTACCACCCAATTTTCTTTCTCAAAAGACTGAGTTTGCAGATGTCATCATAGAAGCTAAAAGTTTTTTGGAAAAATTACTATGTAGTTCTATGTAGGGGATCTATTTCCCTTCTAATCGCATCATATTTTTTATAGACCAACAGGTCCATAATTTTTTAAGTTTTATACCCGGAGGTTCCGTTTTTTATTTTCTTATTTTTTAAATGACTGTATTACCCTTTGATTTGATATATATATATACGTGAAAAATCAAATTTTAGTTTGTGGATCTCGCATATGTGAGGTTGTTTGCGATCTCCATCTCTCTCTGTAAGGTCGATCTCTTTTTACTGTGAGGTCGATCTCTTTGTGTGATATGAATCTATGTGTGTAGCCGATCTCTACATACGCTGTGTGTGTCTCTCTCTCTCTCTCGATACATATATGTATGTGTAGACGTCCCCGAACGTCTCAGAAAAAATCCCGTTTTGTTCATTGGGCTCACTACAATTCAGACTCAATGTCACGGTTCTTAATCTGATCTTACAAAGTGCAATGCGAGATTGATAAATCACCAAAGAGTCCAAATCCGGCAAATCGTTTTGAAAAACTGATTTTTAAGAAAGAAGTGTCAAACATAGACTGTTTTGCCAGATACAGAGTCACCACCTAAATATTTATTTTGGGGGGAATTTAGAAAACCCTGACTCGTTGCCTAAGGCCACATGTCTGTCATCACCAAAGTTGCCTCGATTCGGAAACTTAAGTACGATTGGGGAAGGTCATCTATGAGCACCCCTGCTCGCCCAATCAAAGATCGGCATTTACTAACATGATATCTTATTTTTGAAAACACGTGCGTTCTTATTCCGGTTATTAGCCTAGAATTACTATGTGATGCGCTCAACACACAAGTATAGACTAGATCGCCTAAGTTAGAACAAATCATCTCATGTTTGTTTGTTTGAAAATGATTTGAAGGTGCTACTCGCAAGTAGGCTAAGACGTGAATTTTGCCACCCTCGAGTGGGCTTAGAAAATATGATTTTGCCATAATCAATTAGGCTAAAAACTCGCATTTCAATGAATTGTTTCAATTCAAGTAATCTAACCTTCACCCACAGGTATTCAGGCAGTTATATTATATAAGCAGTTAGCCTCATGGCAAGCATGCGGTCATGTTAACACTCACACTCATGCAAGATGCTAAAGCATAAAAGCTTACCTAGTACTCCGAACCAAAATAATAGCTAATTAATAATCAATGCATGATCCTAGCTATGTTAAGATGACTAATGCAACACATGCAAAATGCAACTAGAAATAGACTCGGCTATTCTAAAATGGCATATGAAATGCGACAACTTGATAAACGTATTCAAGTTGAAATTGAAATACGATGCAGTTAGTATGATGTGCCGAGGCCGGTGCATGCAATACAGATGAATGATGCAAACATGCGAGCACAAGGATGCTAATTGAAACATGACCTAAAACTAACCATTGAAAGTAGGTAAGTAAAATAGAGAAAGACGTGGGGTTGGAAGGCATTCACACACTCACGCACACTTATTACAAAATCCGCCCTCTCGATGGAGGGTCCGAATAAATAATACAGAACCGACTAATTAACTAACTATTCTAGCTAATTAATTATTACACAACCAAAATTGAAACAAATATACATTCTAAGCTAACAAAACACTGAAATGGCCTCATGACGAGGGATGCATGCATGTTCGAATCGTCTCGCTCGAAAATCCATCACGATGCCCCGGCTTGCCTTTGTTTGCAATTGATTTCAGAAATTTACACAAAGCTCCAGAGAGATGAAACTCCACCCCGGGAAACTGTGGGAAGGCTGCTGACCAGCTTATAGGCATGGGAGACCAACTACCGACCACCTTTTGTGGTGGAAACCAAAGAAGGTGGTCGGCCTGCCAGTAAATCTGGTCGGCCGACCAGTTTCCTCTCCTGGTTTCTGGTTTTTCTGCAACAAAGGAAAAGAGAGGGGCACGGCAAAGTATTTGCAACATATGTGTGCACGACCACTTTCCCCATCATTGCATAAGCTCTAGGAAGTGTAATCCTCGACCCTCGGGCCATCAATCATGCATTTCGATACATGATGGCCGAGGAGCCAGATTGGACGACTCAATGTGAAATGAATGCACATACAACACCTAAAGCCAACAACTCCGTCATGGGTAGTCAAGAGTGTTGGTGACCAGGAATTGAGGCACGTTTCGTCACTTTGAATACGAAACGTCCCTCGTTTCCTGTGTTTGGACTAACTCCTATTCCGAACACGATGCAACAAAAGGCATGAAAACGCAATGCAACTATGATTAACTACAATGCAATGCACAATGATTAACTACAATGCAATGCATGCAAGCCTAATGGAATGCAACATAAGTATGCAAACATGCAATGCAAGGGACAAGCATGCAACAACATGATCAAACCACCAATGCCAATAGCGTGCATACTCAATGCAAAGCAATATATGCAACAATATGACAAAATGCGACTAGCATACACAATGCGAATATCAAATAGCATACTCAATGCGACGAACTACATGGCATGCGTAATGCTATGAACTACAATGGCATACTCAATGCAAAATGGACTTAAACCGAAATGGATGGGCCTCAACCACACCCAAATCAGTGGCCATAGATGATGAAAACAAAGCTCCAAAACTCATGCCAGCATGCACAATACAATGGCCCCGAGCCTAAGGCACACAAACACAACTTTGCACATGCATTGAAAGGACTAAACATGGAGTACAATGGCATATATTCTAGCTCTAAAATGACATATAACATGACTCCAAAATGACTCTGAATCATGCAAACAACTCACACAACGCATGTTGAATGGCTCAAGCATTGAAACTAGTGAAATGCATTACACTATAGGCATGCAAAGTGATGCTCATATGATGAAACCAACCCCAAACTGACCCTATGCAGGCCCAAAACAGTAGTAAAATGGGTTGGGATGATGGCTTGAAAGGCACAAAAGTGAAGCTCATGCAATGGCTCGCAAATAGGGCATAAATGCACAACTCTAAAGAGCACTTAAAGCATGGAAAATATGGAAGTGTAGCACCCCTATAAGCTCTGAAGTATCATGCCTAATGATGCCAAAACATGTAGATAGCTCAAGTTAAGCATGCAAAGGACCTCCAAACTCAAAGTTAGTCAATGCTATTACACAATAAGTATGCATGGTTAGCATTTTTTGACCAAGAGACCTCAAGACAAAGCTAAGGCAGCCCAAAATACGAACAAAATCAGTTTGAATTATGGCCAAAATATGCTAGAATAGAGGGGCAAAACAACATGCACTATGAGCTAGTGAACATGAGTTACACTACAAGCATATGAACCATGTGAAGGGCTACCAAACCAAGAAAAAACAGAGTCATGGCATGCCAAATGATGGCCAAAAAAACACTGAAACAAGACCAATACATGCAAGAATGACATGCTCCTTTGATAAGCTATGAAAGGGATTACTCTACACATGCAAGAAGCAAGCAAAAGGGGACCAAACCAGCCATGGTCAGAGCCTAGGAAGGTCCTAGAAGTCAC